GGGTTTTCTTGGCTGTAATCTTTATGGAAGCAGATCACCAGTTCTTTCTCCTGCAGAGCCACTGGGTGAGTTTGAACAGCTGAATGCATAACCGCTTGTGCCACTGGATAGAATTTCTGAATTGTAATGAAGTCCATTAAATCAAGGTTTTTTTCCTCTTCTGGTTTGTGCTTTTTTTTTTGTATTCTGTTTAAGAAATTATTATTGACCCCAAGGTTAGGAAGACTGTGGTTTTTTTCTAGAAGCTTTTATTTTGCTTTTCACATACAGGTCTATGATACTCCTCTAATTTTTGTGGATAATGTGAGGTAGGAGTCACAGTTAATTTTTTTCCATATGGTTATCTAGTTGCTCCAGCACCATTTATTGAAAATCGTCCTGAATTTTAGCGGAGGCTTTGTCATAAATCAAGTGACTCTATACATGTGGGTTTATTTCTTCAGTTTTTTTGTTTTGTTGATTTATTTGTTTATCCTTGTGCCAGTGGCACACTATTTTAATTACTGTGGTTGTCCTTCAACTTTATTTTTCTTCAAGATTATCTTGGTTGTTGTAGGTCCTTTGAATTTTCATATACATTTTAGAATAGGCTTGTCAGTCTGTACATACATACACACACATATATACACACAAAGCCTGTTGGATTTTGATTTGGATTGTACTGAATCTCTAGAACATTTTGGAGGAGAATTAACATCTTATCACTGTTGAGTCTTCCAAACTATGAACATGGAATATTTCTCTATTAGGTCTTTATTAATTTATCTCAGGCGTATTTTGTAGTTTTCAGTATAGAGGTCTTACATATTTTCCATTAGATTTATTACTAGATAATGATACTGTTGTAAATGGTATTTTTTTGACAGTGGACATTTTCTTTTATTGAACTTTATATAATCATGGCAATAAAAATGTAATAAGTGAATTCTAATTCAATCGAATTGTTTGCATATAAGGTACGATATATGCAACCACTAAAAATGTCACTGGTATAACATTCTGATTTCTTGATTCATTCTTTACTTAAAAATATCAATCAACAATTATATGGTATTTTTAAAAACAAAACTTCAGAAGACTTTCAATTTTTCAAGGCATATTTACGTAAGTAAAATGTACCAATCTTAAGTGTATGGTTTGAGTTTTTCCTAAAGATCTACCCATGTAGCTACCACCAGATCAAGACACAGACCCTTTCCAGTACCCTGGAGGCTCCCTTGTGCCTCCTCCTCCCCCATAGGGAACCACTGTTTCTGAGAAGGCTTTTGCTTAGAAACATTTTGTGTCATTGTTTGAAACTGAAGAAGTAATAGCTTGAATTATTGTAAAGCGGGTATTTTATTTTCAGCAGACGTGATAGAGGGTGTTATTTTTGGGGTGTTGTTAAGTAGGGTTAAACTATGATATTTATGTTATACCAGGGGAATTGGTTTTTTTTCCCACTATTGGAGATGTAATTTGACCTGTGTTATAAGGTTGCTATATAGTGAGAAGCTCACCGGTGAGGTTTTTGGTAAACATATTTTATTGCTCTTGCTTTTGATTGGCCTTTTTACCTTAATGCTTCCAAATGTACTTTTTTTTTTTTTTTTTATTGTACTTCAGGTGAAGGTTTACAGAACAAATAGTTTCTCATTAAATAGTAGTACACATATTGTTTTATGACATTGGTTAA